AAAAAAAAAAAAAAAAAAACATCCAATTTGAAAAGAAAAAGCCCTTGACCTTTTTTGATTTTTAATTTTAATTATTTTTTTTATTGCTCCCCGCTCCCGCCCCAATGGCTGTGTAGCAAACAGCCCTGCGCTACCTGGGAAGGGACGCGAAGTTGGTGCGAGGTCGCGGTGCGGTGGGTGGTGGGGCGAGCTCCCGGCGGCGAGTGCGGGGCGCGGAGATGGAGCGGTGGCCCTCCCCGGTGGAAGACGAGACGGTGGCCGTGGAACCTGGCCGTCACCTCCCTGGCGCTGACCTTCCTTGTCCAGCCCCGAGAGGTCAGAGGAGGTAAGACCACGGGGACGGGGGAGGTGGGCGCTCGCCGTCCGTCGGGCGATCGCATTCTGCGCCCCTCCCCCTCTGCGCCCCCCTGCCCAGGCGCCCCCCGGGCCCCCCAAGAAAACACCCTCCTAAATACAATCCAGATTGCAGCTGCCACCAGGTTGGGAGCTCAGACTGCAGAGCGAGGCGGGTGTAGGCGGGACCGTAAGGGGAGACGGGGTGGCCGGGACACCGATCTGTCAGGCGCGGGGCTGCGGAGGTGCCCTGGCCGCTGCGCGGAGCCCGGGGAAGGGGGAGAACGTTACCTGGGACACGAGGGCACTTGTACAGCTTTTGTCTCCAGCCCGGCCCCCAGCCCGCCCTTGGAACGCACCCCTTCTGGTTCCTTCGGCTTCTAGTGAATGAAAGCATCTTTTTTAGGGCTGAACTGAGCCGAAAATATAGAGAAAGGGGAGAAAGGAGCCCTGGTAAAGTTCTTTGTCTGGAATAAAGTGAGAAACGGGCTGTTTTCCTTTCAGGGATATGAGAAGGCAAAGGGGAGGGGGATGCTGATGAATCTAGAAGACTGAGAACACGTGTGTGAGTGTGTGTGCGTGTGTGTGTGTGGGGGGGGTATTTTGGTGAGATTTTAAGGGGGAAAGTGGCAGGTTATGGGGACGGGGTGGAAAATAGGGAGAAGGCTTTTCCCTGAGTTTCAGCACCGGGACTCTTCCCCCATGACCCCCACCCCCACTTCTTGCAGGTTGGACGTGCGATTCTCGTGGAGAATGATGAAACTGGCCGAGCGAGTGGCTGGGGGAGGAGGCCTAGCATTGGAAAGGGAGGGGGCGCGGGTGGGGCGGGAGGAGAGGTAAGGAAAAGTTCCTACGTGGCACCAGCAACTGCTCAGTGAGCTGACCTGTGGGGAAGACCGCAGCCCTGTCAGTACCCGGGGAGGGAGAGCGACTCCCACCCCCCCCCCGCCCCGCCCTTCCCCGCAGAGGCGGTGGCCCCAGCGCTCCGGTCCGTTAGGTGCTGTAGACTCGGCTGGCTGGCGGGAGCCCCGAGTGCTGGGAGGAGAAAAGCCAGCTTTGTTCAAAGCTCACGGAGCAGCAGGGGTGAGGAGGAGGGTGGCGAGGCTTGGCCGAGGGAGGAAGAAACTGTCAGCCCCAAAGGCGCAAGCTTTAGCAGAAACCTGAGTCTGGCCCCTGGATGCCAAGACCCGAGTTCTGCCTGATGGGAGGTGGGGCTCCCGGGCCGAACTCCTGGAAACCAGGTCTGTATTCCCTCCCCGCCCGCGCTGGCCTCCCCCTTCCCCAGCAGCGAGCGGGCCGCGTGGCGTGGGTGCTCCCTCCACGCGACTGGTCCCCGTGCAGAAGGCCCGCGCCTCAGGGGACCACGGTTGCCTCTTGGAGAAGCTATGCCAACGATGCCCATTCGCTCGCCTCTCCCTTTCCCAGGGTACAGAGGAGGGTCTTTGAAAGTGGAGTGCCCCCAAAGTTTGCATTCTACCTTGGGGTACCTGGTCCCCAGCGGGATTGCCCATTCTCTCAGCTTGCGGTTCTGCCCTCTGCTGGTTTTGTTTATTATTTGGGATCCGAGCATCTACTTAGCAAGTGAGGCTTCTTAAAATCCTCACTCGGTTAAGGAGGAAGGGATATGCCATGACAAAAGTATTCTAAAGGCACCTACTTATTTAAAAAAAAATAGAGACACTCAGACTTCCTTCAATGAAAGGTGAAATATAAACTCAAAGATGCCACTGTAGGCGTTCAGGGTTAGAGATGTTTGCTGCTTGTCCTTCAAGTTCGAAAGGTATCAGAGAGGTCACATCCCTACCCTTGTAAAGTAGCTACTTACCCGAAACACTTTTAAACAAACATCCGGGTACCACAGCGAAGCAGTGATGGAAAAGAACCTTTTCTGTTATTATGAAGCCAAGTAATGTGAGAAACAGCCAAGGGCAAAGATCCGGTTGCTTCTGTCTGTCCTTTCTGATGACCTGTCTTGAAAGTTCTGATTGCTTATCAGTGGTTCTCAACCTTCCTAATGCTGCGACCCTCTAATACAGTTCCTCATGTTGTGGTGACCCCCAATTTCATTGTTACAAATTGAACATAATTAAAGCATAGTGATTAATCACAAAAACAATATGTAAATATATATGTGTTTTCCGATGGTCTTAGGCGACCCCTGTGAAAGGGTCATTGGACCCCCCAAAGGGGCCGTGACCCACAGGTTGAGAACCGCTGGCTTAGATAGTGTGGTAAAAGGTGGTGTTCGCTCAACCAAGTTGCTGGGTGCTTGCTGCTCAGTGGGAAGCTAGATATGTATTTACTTAAACCTACTGGTAGGCATTCTAGCCTCTTAATGGCCTTCCGAAAGCCCTGGTAGTATCTTAATGCCTAAAAGGAAGCACGGGCCTGAATCATCACGCAGGGGGACATGAACCCAGGGTCCACTTCTCATGCCAGTCTTTAGATGTGCAAGTGAATGAACAGTAAGTAAGATTTTGTTCCAGTTCCTAAGCAAAAGTGTCGTATGCTAGAATTATACTATGATGTTTTGATTTCTCAGAGATGCAGCGGTGTGATTTGGTTGCTTGACCCAAAGATGACTTAAAACAGCCTATTTTCATCTAAAATGTGCTTTTCTAGGATTAAAAATAGTAAAGCCTTCGAGAGTTATGGGTTTATATTACATCCGACTCCGAAGAAAGCTAGTTAAGACCCTGAAGCATCTAACCTTACAGAGAAAAGCTCTGGGATGAATGGATTCAAATAAAATGTATGGTCTCACACAGTCATCACTTTACGTTGCACATAGAAACCCTATCCCTTGGTAATCTCTAACATGCTCATTCAAAATGTGTAGTGTTTATTATGATCTAGTACAAAAGAGTTTTATGATATATTCATTTACGTTAGCTTCCATTTTTAGCCTGTGGTTAATGTAAATGTTTTATCTCAGAAATATATGGGTTTCTCTGTCAGTCAGTCCATTGCGTCTTCTAGACAGGACTTGAGGGTTACCCGGATGCTGTGGTGACTCTGTGATGGTGCTAAGCTAGGAGGTTTTAAGAGTTTTAAAAATGAGTTAAGGTAAGATTAAGTACCAAGGAAAGTAACCTCTAATTGAATCCCGTTTTGCTAATTAACATGGCATTCGATCTTTGGTGGTGAAGCCAAGACTGTCCTTGCAAGAAGTTGATTCATTTTGTGAGAAACTCCCCGAGCTCCTCGCAGTGGGCCGTGCGCTCTGCTGGGTGTTGTCTTGAGTGCCCGGGATCAGCAGGTGAAATGGTGCTGGATTCCAGCGTCCGAGCTAATCCAGCTTCGCAAGGAGACCCAGCTGGGCCTGTGGTTACTTAATGGGAACCCAGCTCAGAGATCAGATACACTTCCGATAGTCGATGCAGTGTCCGCGAGGAGTACTAATAATGTCTCCTCATTTGTTTTTTTTTTCTATTCAAAATGGACAAAGTCTGCAATAGAGAAACAATAAGGAACAGTAGGTGTCTTCCGAGAAGCATGCTCCTGCGTGCTGTACACAGGTGGCCTCGCTTTGGGTGGCGTATGTACAGTGGGAGTTAGAGACACGTTCACAAAACTGTCCACGTGTTTTAAATTAAGTTTATTGATCTCTTAAATTGACTGTTTACCCCATAATCAATACTTAACAGAGTCTACTTTATCAAAATCACTCTCTGAGTATATTCTGATCATTGCAGACAAAATTAAAAAGTTGTAAAATGAGAAGTGTATATATTTAGATAGCATGATTGCTCACAGGTATTTTATTATTTTTTTAGGTTCTATATTTGTCTCACTTTGTGACTAAATTAGAAGGAGCACATCATTCATGTTAAGTTAAACCTAAAACATAGCAAGGCGACCATGAACCCCTTTTCAGACTTGTGGGCAGGCTTTCTATCAAAAAAAATCTAAGTACTTCCCCTGCCCTTTTTTTTTCCCCCTAAAAAATTTGTTTCTGTTCTGGGACAAATTATCTTCACTCTGGTTAATTTACTGAACTGCCGTCTATTTCATAATAACAAATGGACTCAAATCAAGCGTGGCTGAGGGTGTCTGTAATAAAAAGGAGAAAAAGGTATCTAGATTTTTTAAGGGAATGCTAGACAGAAATTATTATAGAAATTACTTCTCTATATACCACCTTCTTACTTTACTATAAGGGAACTGAGGCACAGAAAAGTTGTTAGCTGATTACTCTTTCTCATGAAAACATTCTTATACTAGCCGTGGTTTTTCTAAATGAGTAGGGGAAGATCTGCAATAGTGATGTAAATAACTAAAAAATAGTAGTCTGAGACTTTATGGAATGACCAAATATTACTTACATGTATGTGCTGGAGTGATTAGTGAGAAGACGGGTTCAGTGAGGACTGATTTAAAGAAACTCGGAGAGGAAACAGTTACAGAATGCATTTACAAATTCCTCAACCTCCTAAGATCAGAGGAAGGCGGGTTTTGGCTAGTTGTATTGTTAATATGCCTAATTATCTGATTCTACATGAGTGTCTGTATCAGAATAGAAAGCATAACAGTTTATAAAATATTTTTTGTAAGTATTTGTGGCTGGATTAAGAATATAGTGTTGATCCTTTCTAGAGGCAGGTACCACTTTGAATTTTTAAGAAGCTCAGAAAGTTATATATGTATTTCAATAAGGCAAATCATGTCAGATTTCTATGCTTTTCATGTTGATTTTATATTGATGGGATGATATAGTATATTATATTCATATAAGTTATATGACTTTTATTAAGGCAGATAATGAATTGATATGGGTTGTATGTTCCATAGATAATCTCTTTTTAAACAAGGGGCCAACCTTGGAAAAATAAGAGGAGAGCACTTATTAGTGCACCTTCTAATTGAAGGTGTTTCTTTGGATTGTCTAATTATCTGAAACAACAGAAACACTTTCTACCTCAGGAATAGATACATAGAGGGCTAGTTTGTAAGGAAGTACTCACTCTTTTTTTAAAAATATATATATTTTTG